GGAAGTAAAAGACAAATAAGCCATTTTCTGCCGAAATGGCTTTTTGGTCATTGTGTTTCCTTCCAGTCGCAGAAATCCTGAAGTAAGATAAGATGGCACCAGTGTAGTGGGTATTGCTGTGACAGACCTACTAGGTTTTAGAAAGGATTGCCGAAGGATCGTGGAACTGTGTGCTAGAAAATCAATTGAGTGTTGGGAGTTCAGTGGGATGTTCTGTGGGAGCTTGGAAGATAGGAATTTTGAAAGCAGTGCTGAGAATGTAGGCCTGGCTTGTGATGCTTCAGAGCGAAGTTTAAAGACACTATCAGGATCCACACAGGGACCACTCTAGGTATTGATTAGTCTTGGGAGAAGCCATGGCTTTTATAATATGTTGAGTATGGAATCAGGCACAGAGGGAGGGATAAGAATGGAGGGGAACAAAGGCATGAGCAAAAGGTTTCTCAAAGGACTTGCTTGTGAAATGACATAATTTGTAAAGGTCAATATGATTTGATAATAAATTTGTCATCGAATGGCCATTGAGAGCATCTGTCAATCTTATAGTGCTACCAAGCTACATGGTAGTATAAAATAAGGGGGTGGAGCTTGACCAGATCTGTAAGTGTGCAGTGGGCAAGAGGTTTGAGGATGGAAGCAAGATGACTATAGTTTGTGTCAAGATGGCATGAAGCTAGCCAGCACAGTGGAGGAGAGAAACAGCTGGAAATGCAAACTCTAAAATTTCAAGTTGGGGAAAGAGTCAGCAGAAGGAGGTGATCCGCACTGTGGGGTATACAAGTCAACACCAGTTCAGTTGAGGCAGATAGGTCCCCTTGAATGGGGCCCAGTTTATTCTCCCTGGTTTCTGAACCAAACGTAAGACAAGAAAGAGTAAATTCATCAAAGCAGACAACTCCATGAGAAAAAAAGATTTAGTGAAGATGAACCTGCAAAAAGCTATGTCTCTCTCTAGGGATTAAGGGCAGAGAGAAGCAGAAAAGCAGAAAAGGAAACAGATTTTATGTTACATACGAAAGGGAAAGTTGAGCTGATTGAGCCTGACTGAAGGGGGGCTGGGTGCTTTTCCTGAGGTGGCTGACATTTGGGGAAAGGTTAGGGTGGCTGCTGGTAAACAGAAATGTATCATGGGTGATCAGGTTCTCTGATACACAAAGCCCTGCCTTGAGGCTTCTGTTGACTCAACCAAAATCCTTCTGTTAGGACCAGCTCTTCCATTCTGTGGACAGCAGCTTTGGACCCCGCCCTGTCTGCTGAGTCCTTCACCCAACTGTTGCTACAAAAAACACAGCTCTCATCCTAAAAGGACTAAGAGAAACTTTCTTCTGGAGCCATTTAGAGTGAAAAATGATCTGAGAACACTGATTTTGGTTACCCAAATTCCATTCTCCAGTGTTGAAGTAATTTCACAAAGACTTTATAGCTTAACCACACAAAGACAACTTTGAGATGCAGAGGTGGGAACCTCAGAGAGGCAGGTGCATCAAGGTGGAGGAGCTTCTCTATGGAGTGAAGTGGCTATCTGCTGGCATCTTAGCTTTTGGATTGAAGCTCTTTGTCTGTAAGTAATCGAAGTCTATTGTCACAGGGTTGACTTCTGGCACATAGGGAGGCAAACTTGTCTGTTCCGGAGAAGCAGCACTTACCCAAGAGAAGGTAATTAGTCTCTGACCCTGCAATGTTCCAATCTCTCTCCAGTACTGGAATTCAGAGCAGTCATCCAGGCTCTGCAGACACAGAATCCTGTCAGGGCTTTCCCTTCAGTGCCAGACAAGGCAGCTTCCCTTCAGAAGTCTGATGCCAAAGAGGGCAGAGTGAGCGTCTATTTAGATTATTCCCATTGATACCAGACAAGATGGTTACACAGATGGAGGTGGAGTCCTGTTAGCATTGAGACATCTGTTTATTAATGTATGACTTTTTATTGAGAAATCACAGAGCATTGAAATAGATTTCTATTCTTTTTGAAGTTACATAAGAAGTCTGCAATAATATTTAGTTGCAGCCCTATCTGGTGAAAAGTAGGGCTTCTGCCCTGCCTTGTTAACTCTGACTTTCCCCAGTTCCACACAGATTACGAAACAATTAGAGAAATAGAAAGCTGTAATCAACACACTCGGCTAGTGGTCAGGAAGTGGTTCTGCTAGGGAAGCTTCTCAATGCGCAATACCAGAAATCATCCCATCAGTCCATTCCAGACTGAGCACAGAGAGGAACTTGTCTGGGCCAGCACTTCCTAAGAAGAGGGAGGAGATTCTGGTGGGCATAAATAGACATCACTCTGCAGTGGGAAGAATAACACAGCAGGTAGGCAGTAAACAGATCATCAGGACCAAGCTCTCGCAAACTCGGGTAGCTGCCTTCAGATCTACAGGTAATTCCCATAATTCTTTCTCTCTGAGAACAAAGGAGGAGCTTTTGCCAGGCGGTGTGGTACTGGTGATGACCTGGATCTTGGGTTGATAGGGTAAGGAGTTGATCCTGTGTCACTGGAATAGGATCAGGGAACATTTCTGGGGTGCATAAAAATCTTTTCTTTAGTCTGGGTCTTCCTGTCTATGGAAGATGGAAGAGGAACCATTCTGCTCCTGGAAGGTGAATGGAGCCTGCTCCTTCCCACCCTCCACAGGGAGGAAGTTTTGAGACCTTGACTACCCCGGGTGCTACTGTGGGAAGCAGAAGGAGACAGAAAATTCACATAGTTCCCATAAGGAAGGTGGAATCACTGACATGCTTGTCGCAGACACTAAAAGTCTTGGGATCAGAAATCTCACTTTCTGTGCAGATCCTATGGCCAAGAAAAAGGGCTGCACCGCTTCCAGATAAGGAAAAGACTCCAGCTCATCCACTGAGCCAAGTCTATTACACAAACAGACTAGCCTGTTTGCTGTGGAAATAATTCTGATAAAAATATTACTGAATGCTTTTCCTGAGATATGGATACATCCATCTGACAGTAAACACAGGATACAGGGTAGAGGGAGTTATAGTCCCTGGCCACTCCATAGTCATGTGACAGGCCTGGGGACATGTGTCTCATCTCCAACACCTTCCTCTCCTGCTCACTCTGTTCTCTTTCTATATTTTTCTACTCTTCTCTTCCCCTATCTTAACCTGTCCCCTCATCAGATCCCCATTCCTACCCCTCCTATTCTTCTGCATCCCCTTCTTTCCCCTCTCTCGCTCCTTCATCTTTTCCCCCTGTGTCCTCTCTCCTCTATTCTTCTCCTCCCCTTCTCATCCTCTACCATCTACTGTCTCCTCTGATGTCCTCAGCAACCTAGACAGGAGCTAAGGTGTGTGACAGTGATTACCATTATCATTAACCTTCAACTGTAGGTTTTGGTTTTGGTTTTGGTTTTCAAGACAGGGATTCTCTGTTGTTTTAGAGCTTGTCCTGGAACTAGCTCTTGTAGACCAGGCTGGCCCTGAACTCATACAGATCTGCCTGGCTCTACCTCCCTAGTTCTGGGATTAAGGGCATGTGCCACCATTGCCTGGCTTCAACTGTAAGTTTTACGATGATTGTATCCACACTACAGTGGTGTATGGAGGAGAAGGTCCTCTGGACATTCCCTAGAAATATCCACAATGACCATGAAAAGCCATAAACTCTTACTAATATTCTAACCTGGGTCACTCAACAAGTTGTCCAGAAAGATCCACCGATTTCTTGCCACCATACCTCACACTGAGATTCAAAATGAAATCTGGTCCAGGTAGCAGAGATTCATTCAAACATCATCCAAGTTTCGTCCCATCAGGAGGCCTTCCAAGGTGAGATAGAAACCACCATGTGGAATACTGGCAGGGCTGAAGATCCTCCTCATTCTCACCCTTCTGAAGCCAGTTCTCAGGGGGCCAAGGCTCTGGTGCTGCACCAGACAACTCCAGTGCTGCCCTCCATTAACCCCCACACACCCAGAGGCTTGCACTAAGTTAAACCCGGGGCTGTGAGATTTCTTTTTTTTTTTAACTTTTCTTTTATTGAGAAAAGGAGAAAAAAAAACAAGTTTCCTCCTCCTCCCAGCCTCCCATTTCCCTCCCCCCTCCTCCCACCCTTCTCCCCCTCCCCCCACTCCTCTCCACCTCCCTCTCCAGTCAAATGAACAGTCAGGGTTCCCTGCCCTGCGGTAAGTCCTAGGTCCTCCCCGCTCCGTCCATTTCTAGGAAGGTGAACATCCAAACTGGCTAGGCTCCCACAAAGCCAGCACAGTACTTAGGTTCAAAACCCCATGCCATTGTCCTTGGGTTCTCATCAGCCCTCATTGTTCGCCATGCTCAGAGAGTCCAGTTTTATCCCATGCTTTTTCAGTGACAGTCCAGCTGGCCTTGGTGAGCTCCCAATAGATCAGCCCCCTTGTCTCAGTGGGTGGGTGCACCCCTCGTGGTCCTGACTTCTTTGCTCATGTTCTCCCTCCTTCTGCTCCTCATTGGGACCTTGGGAACTCAGTCCAGTGCTCCAGTGTGGGTCTCTGTCTCTGTCTCCATCCATCACCAGATGAAGGTTCTTTATAAGAGATTTCTTATATATATCCATTAGAGGTTGGGTGCACTCTGTCTAAGATTTCTTTTTGAGTCCTGACTAGAAGTTGGTGATGAGGTAGGGGGCACAAGTGCAAAGGAGGAGGTCCCCTGCCTTCTAATGAGCGCTTAAGTCAAGCCAGAAGAGAAGAGGTAACATTCAAATTACACAAGCCTTGATCCCAGCCCCAAGTCTTCTCTTGCTTACCCTGTGACTCTAACCAATCTCCTCATCTCTCTTGGTCTTGGTTATCTATTAGGAACACTGGCTACAGCAACAGCACTTCTTCCTGTAGTGAAAAGGAGCAGAGGGTGTGGCACTGCTATCTAAGGGGCCAGGGCACCTCCCATGCACAGTCAGAAAGGCAGCAAAGGGACACAGTGCAGGCCAGGTGGAAGGAATAGGAGGTGGTCAGGGAATCATGTGGCCTCCTAAGATAAAAGGATCTTCTCTTTTCAACCAGGAAACTAGAGTAATGGCAGGGATCTCAACTGATGTCCTCTCCAGACCAGATGACATTTTGGGAAGGGCTGCTGCAGGCCAGGAAATCCAAAACAAGAGAACACCAGTGGACAATCTATCATTGACATCCAGCAACAATGACTTCTCCTTCAGCCTCTACAAGGAGCTGGCCTTAAAGAATCCAGGTGAAAACATCGTCTTCTCCCCACTCAGCATCTCAGCTGCCTTGGCCGTCCTGTCACTGGGAGCAAGTAACAGCACTCTGCAAGAGATTCTAGAAGGTCTCAAGTTCAATCTCACAGAGACCCCTGAGGCAGACATTCACCGGGGCTTTGGGCAGCTCCTACTCATGCTCAGTCAGCCAGGGGACCAGGTGCAGATCAACACAGGCAGCGCCATGTTTGTTGAAAAGCGCCTGCAGATCCTGGCAGAGTTCAAGGAGAAGACAAGGGCGTTGTACCAGGCTGAGGCCTCAAGTGCTGACTTCCAGCAGCCTCATAAGGCCAAAAAGCTCATCAATGACTACGTGAGTAAACAGACCCAGGGGAAGATCAAGGAACTGATCTCAGGCCTGAATGAGAATACAGTAATGGTGCTGGTGAACTACATCTACTTTAAAGGTGAGGATGGGCACTGTTTCATGAGTGGTTGAGGAGGGTGTTGGTTGGGCACCTTCTGTCCATACATACACTGAGCACTGGAAAGAAGGGGCTCATGGCCTAGAAGACATGGGTTCCTAACTTCTTTTTACTAACTGGCCTTACTTTAGCTCTGTGGTATTCTGGAAAATGGTTGCAGTTCCTTGTACTGACTCCACAGAAGCCCTGAGGTCTCAGTGACTCATTTTGGCTCTGACTTAAACTGATTGACTAGGAGACACAAGAGCTGGGATATCCAGTTCGACCTAAGTGTTGAGAAGCCAGTTCATCTCCCTGAAAAGGCACGTCCGTCATTCTGTCTGCTCCAGCATTTCTAATATACTTCTTAGCAGGTGTCCTTCCCTGCTGGAGAGCCCCTGTATCTAGGTGGGTACAGATGTGCTGAGGAGTTCTTGACCTAAGGAACCTTGCTATCCCAGTCTTAAAGGGAAAATAGCATTGCCACAGGTGGTGAAAAACCCTTCATGCATCCCTATGCAGCACCTCTCCCCTGATCCTCTCTGCATTAGGCTTGACCTCAGCATGGGAAGGCAGGAACCGGACAAAGTCATTAGTGAAAAGAAAACCCAGCCATGTTGTGTTCTTATGTGGTGTATGGCTGCTCTGTGGAGTTTGTTTCTGTAAGACAACTAGCCTGGCAGCCTGGGAGGCCACAGTGCCCAAGACTCTCTCCTGAGCCATGGCATCTGGAGTTTTGGGAGACTGAGCTAAAATTGCCTTGGGTAAGAGTTTGGGATGGACATCCAGAGTCCACACCCACAAACACAGCCTGGTAGAGAGCAGAGACTGAGGTGACAGCCCACAGAACAATTACTGATGAAAATCGTGATCGACTAGATCTGAAGTGGATTTGAGGCTGGATGTGTAAATGTACTAGTCCAGTGCAGAGAAGGACAGGTTCTGAGACTACAGACAGAGAACCCATTGGCTGTAAATAGAACAGGGAAAAGGAGAGGAGGAAGGAGGGCAGGAGTCCAGGATGGCCCCAGTGCTGCTGTGCTCTGAGGAGAGGGAAGCAGAGGAATGGCCTGAAGGATGGGCATGGCTTTCTCTGCTGGCCCAGGACCCAAACTCCAAGGCTGCTTGGCTATGAGGAGGTGGTGTTGTATGTTTATACTGCTGGATCCTGAGCCCAAGAAGCTGTCCATGCACCAGTCCCCTAGGGTGTGTTGCAGATGATCACATGTGCTTGGATTGTTAGGCAAGTCTGGACAGGATATCTGATTTCATGGAGGGGAACATGGCCACGCATGAGATGAAGAGTCAATATCCGTGTCTTAGCCACCGACTGTGGGGTCCTGGGAATCGGACCTGACAAACTGCAGGTCTCTAGAGCTTCAGTCTAAGCCCACACTTGACTCTGGACACTAAGTCCCCTTAGGTGGTTCACACTAAAGGGCGCCATGGACAGATCACAGTGTGGGAAGAAACAGTCTCGTTGTGCTTCTCTGAAAACATGTCCCACAAGTGACTGCCTTCAACACAGTGTCCTCCTAAGGAAGAGGGATCCCCAGCTCTCCCCCAAGCACTAGTCTCTCTCTTTCTCTCTCATTTCTTTCTTACACGCACACCCTCAGATCCCAGATTGTTTCTCAGGCACATCTAAGAGCCAGTCTTTGGTTTTGAGTTCCCTTTTCCAAACCAAGTCTGTGGATTCTTTTCATTCGTAGATCTGCATCATCCCAGGTCTTGTTTTTCAACATAGAGAGTGAAACCAACATGGGACAGTACACACTGTGTGTTGAAGATGGGATGATTGTTCTCATGACTCAGAAGCTAGGCAGAAATGGGGAGTAGGTGGGGTCTCCCCTGCTGTTACATTCTAATGGCCTGTTCCACATTTAGGGAAATGGAAGTTTCCCTTTGATCCTCGTGACACATTCGAATCTGAGTTTCACTTGGATAAGGACAGATCTGTGAAGGTGCCAATGATGAAAATTGAGCACCTGACCACACCCTACTTCCGGGATAAGGAGCTGTCCTGCACTGTGGTGGAGCTGAAGTACACAGGCAATGCCAGCGCCCTGTTCATCCTCCCTGACAAGGGCAGGATGCAGCAGGTGGAAGCCAGCCTTCAGCCAGAGACCCTGAGGAAGTGGAAGGACTCTCTGATGCCCAGGTGAGTGCCTGCAGGACACAGAGCTGGCCTGAGTCGACAACCGACAATAGTTCTGGAGCCCACTGTCTCTGTACCTCAAAACCTCACTAATACCTGTGTAATGGCTGAATGGTCAGCAGGGACGGGTGGAGTGCCGAATGATGTAATGGCTGTGGTGGTGGAATAGCAGGGGCGGGTGGAGGGCAGGTGAGTTTCCTCTGCAAACTGTGGAGTTGAGAAAAATTTTACTGTCATTTTAGTTGTTTTTAAGAGAGGATCAGCTATAGCGGGACCTAAAGATTCTTCTATGTCTAACGGGCTGTACTTAGACAGATTCCTGCATGGGTGTGGGAAGGCAGAGGGAGTGAGGGTGAAGGAGATCAGCTCTGAGAATCAGCTCTGCCCTGTGCAGCCATCGCATCCCTCATCACTCATTCATTCACCAGTGTGCAATGATGACTGGAAGACCTACTCTGTGCTGTGCTATAATTTTAGACCCTGAGATGATATCAGAGACTCAAGAAGAAAATCTCTTATCCTCTCAAGCTTATCTTGGAATTGAAGAGCACAGAGTAGGTGATTGAAAATACAATATATCATGACTTGACTACTAAAAAGTGAGAGGCAGTGAGACCCAAAAGGGGAGTTTCCAAAGATAAGTACAGCTGGATTCGAGCGGAGGGTGCAGCTTTAACTAGAAGTTCATTAGATGAAGTCTGAGTCCACATGACAGGGGAACGGCTGCATTTGTGGATCTAGGAGAAAAGCATTCCTGTTAAAGGAACAGCTGGAACCTAGCCACACTGACTGCCCACTGTAAACACTCTCAGGCATTAACAGTTAAGTAATTCTTCAGGAAAACAAAATAAAGAGTCTACGCATGGATGGAAAGACAGCTTCCCTCTCGTGAAAGGACTGTCTGTGGAGAGATGCATTAGCAACAAGGTAGGCTGGTGGGGTCAGGGACCAGTGACCCTTATGTTTCTCTATGTCATTCTCAGGAAGATCGACAAGCTCTATATTCCCAAGTTCTCCATCTCTACTGACTACAGCCTGGAGAAAATCCTTCCACAGCTGGGTATCAGGAAAGTCTTCTCCACACAGGCTGACCTGTCTGGGATCACAGGGTGCAAGAACCTCGGGGTCTCTCAGGTATACCAATAAATACTAGGTGGCTCTCCTAGGGTTTGAGAATATATATAGGGAGAATGAGGTGTAGGGGGAAGGACTGATGTGTGCATGAGAAAGCCTGAGACTCACTTATGCCTTGGAGAGGCAGATTAAAACCTATAGACTCCCCCTGGATACCATGCAGCTCGTCCCTTCTCTACCCTGTGAACATAATCTGATTCAGGATCCCGGGGTGGAAAAGAGCTTGTGCTTTAGGTAAGACCACCATAGTAACCACCTGGTGCTGCACTGTGGGTGCTACCCACAATCCTCTGCAGGTGCCAACCACAATCCACTGCAGGTGACACCACAATCCACTGCGGGTGCCACCCACAATCCACTGCAGGTTCCACCAACAATCCACAAAGCACTTCCAGTCTCCGCTTCTTCAATTGAAGCTGGCTCAGAACTTCCTGAATAGCACACAGAACAATAGCAGTGCAGGAAATAGAAAGGATGAGTAGCAGTTGAGATGTAAAGCTTAAGAATAGGAGAGAAGACGCCTTAGGACCTCACACTACATCCCCAGATGCACAGCCTGGCAATGCTTAGTGTTCTCTCCAGTGCCCACACAGCAGGGCATGGCAGTCTGGGAAAGAGAAGCCATGCCATGTGCATTGCAGCAGTTTGCCCCAAGGAGGCTGGAGCAGGAGGGATGCTGAATCTGCACTGGCTGCAAACATCCTTAGTATTCCCTGTGAGTCTCCTGAGAAGGTGCCTGTGGAGTAATGTGGGAGTTACCTATACCCATCCTCCAGTTTGTGGTGGGTTTGAGGACAGTAGAGATTCTCAGAGACTGAGAAGACCCTTGGTGGCCTCATCTCACACCCTGAGAGGTGACCTGGAAACCCCAGGGGTAGAGTTCATGGCAGGAACAAACAAGCTCACCAGTGTCTGAGGTCAGCAGTCGATGCTTGCTCCAGGAATCTCCTCTGCTGCCTACCCTGGTCTCCAGTGAGTGATGTCTTTCTCCTACAGGTAGTCCACAAGGCTGTGCTGGATGTTGATGAGAAAGGCACAAAAGCAGCAGCTGCCACAGGAGTAAACGTTGAATTTCGGCGTGGAATAATCAACCCTTTGATTTTGAGTTTAGACAGGCCATTCCTGATGATTATCCTTGACACAATCACTCAAGTTGCCCTCTTTTTGGCCAAGGTCATGAATCCCAAGTGAGACTAGAACTTTCCAAATGGTGATGCTTCCTCCTGGGAGCCAAGGATTAAGCCTGTATGTGGGTCTCTATATTCATTTTATCCTCCATGTTCTGATTGGCTGAGGCGTGTCTGGATTGGACAGGACATTGACTAACTGTATGACTGTATGCACAGGGTCCAATGGACAGTCAGTATCAAGTTCCTGTCCTCATGCAGCACTAGCTCATGTTCCTGAGACTGAACTCTGTCTTTGCGGCCCCTCCCCGCTGCTGCTCCTGAATCGACCTCTACCCAAAGCCTGGAGCCTGGCAGGTAGTCACAGTCCCTATCTAGGCTGTGGTTATGTCTGCCTTCATCTTGACAGGCTTGATGGAAATATGCAAGCATGTAGGCATCCATGGGGACCTCAGCTCCAGAACTGAGCAGGGAAACTGCTGGGTGAGTCTGTTTCCAGAATCTGGGACCACTTGGTGCCCAGTTCCTGCCTCACACTATCTCTCTTCCAGGCTCTGCCACCACTGTCCCATCAGGGGCTCCTATCCCTGCCCACATCTGGCACTGGATTATATCACCTATTCCTGCAGCTTCAGGGAGTCAGTTGGTCAGCTCAGCTCCTTTCCCCCTAGTGTACTTACTTAGGTCAGAGGAGCCATTTTCTAGGTTCCCCACTGACAACCTCACACCACAGATGAACACCACCTCCTTCTTTACCCAAAATGCAGCACTTGGAGCAAATGATCAATAAACATATATCTGCATGGAAAATAGTCAGGCAATGTTTACTCAGCTCCTGTAGGCTGGGGTGTGGCCTCCAATGACAACAGGGTAGGAGAGATTGTCAATCACATTGTGTGAATCATGTGATGAACCTCTGACATATATGGTAATATCTGTCTCTTTTATGGATGAGGAACCTGAGACACAGAGAAGCTATATCACTATCCTATTTCATCACAGCTCAACATTATTACTGACAGGATGATCTCCCAAGAGTCCTGATGCCAGAGGAACAGGCTTGCCCAAGCTGATATTCTTAGCTCAAGAGATCACTATGGTGGTGAACAGATGGAACATTTAACAAGGCAATGGATGCTTCCCAGAGAACACCCAAATAAGTCTAAGGATCATGTGACCTCGGTGCTGAGGTCAGAGGAGGATGAGAAGGTGGTCAGATGATCAGAAAAATGCTTTTGGCAGGGCACACAGCAATGGAGGTATTCTAAGAATAACTGGGTGTTTAGGAAAGAAAAAATAATCACCAAATGGCAAAGATGGAGCCTAGGAGAATCCTGAAATTACACAGAATGACAGGGAGCTCTGGAGGGGTGACTAACTGTTCCTGTCCTGGGATCCTCAAGCCGCTCCGTGCAAACGTGGGGAATGGCACTGAGGGCAGCTGCAGGGAATAGGAGACCACATCTGGAGTGAAAGTGGGTGATTTCAACTCAAAAAGGAGCTGGTTTTGTACCTAGATAGAAGACAAAAGGAAGTTAAGTTTCTTTGAGTTATGGTGCTGAGTGTCTAAGAGACTCCATCAGCCCTGAAACACTGCTGGAGGCCTGCACAGAGAGGGACATTTGTATGTTCAATTGAGACATCTTGAGTCTCAAGGCTTCTGAGACACACTGGGCAGGAGGACATGTGATTGCAGACAATTACAGCCTGAGGGTCTCACACAAGACTCCCTTCCACTTTGAGCACTGAGACACCACCCATGGGAGCCATCGAGGGAGAAAGTGGAGACCCATGTATTGGAAGCACCTGTGTCCCAACAATTTCACTCTGTCCAATCAAGTCCCTGAGGTCACCACCTCATGAGTTCCATGAGCACTGGCATGCCGCAGCTGTGTCCCTCCATCCGTCGTTGTTCAAACCCAGAATCTAAGGTGCCTGGTGCTGAAGACATCTCATGCTGCTGGGAGCTGGGTCTGAACACTAAGTGTCATTATTAGGATTCACTATAGGAACGAATGCTACAGGACAAATCTCTACCTAAAGGGAATTTACTGGAAAGATTTAAAAGCCGTGGCCCAATTAGTACAAAAATAGCTGTCTCCCAATGGAAGAGTCAGGAATCAAGTGGTTGTTTATTCTACAAGCGGAGAAGTCTCACCTGGTCAGTATGTGCTGGAATCCTGAAGAAGTGGCTCAGATGCCAGTGAAGGAGTGGACTTGCCAGTGAGAGCGAGAGGAAGCAGGTAAAGGAAGCAGGCATCCCTGCGTGTCCTTTATATAGGCCGCCTGCAGAAAGTGTGGCCCAGATTAAAGGTGAATTTCCCACCCCAAAAGATCCAGATTAAAAGTATCTCTTCCCACAATAAATAATTTAATTAAGAAAAATTTTCTCATAGTTGTACCCAGCTTCTTGGTGACTGTTAATTCCAAATGGAGTAAAGTTAACTTTAATCCATACACTCATCACAAATTCATCCCTTTTCAACTTAAAATGCTTCCGTATCTCCATAAATTATGCTCAATTTCTGCTATGGTAATACTATAACCAGGTCTGAGCTATGTCTCAGAAAGTTTAACTGTTACACGGATAATAACAGGTCATAGTTACATCAATCATAACTCTCCTTTGTTCCCCCACAGATCCATTACTAACATTATAATAGACCATGTTTATTAAGAAGCATTGTTTTAGTATCTAAAACTTGAATATTATATCCACTGATATTCTCTTAATTGATGTTACACTATATGATGAATAAATTGAGAAAAGAAAACACATATATCTGTACAAACACATTCTCTATCAGAAAAGAGCAGAAACCTTGTGTCACTAATAACACACATTTCTGCATCCACCGTTGCTGGCATTGGTCACTGTGGTCCTCCTTGGCTCACTCTGTATTCCCTGCACACTCAGCGAACACCTCACCAGGTCTTCACTCTTTCCTGCAGACATGACCCAGGCCTTCATGCCCTTTGTCATCCTGCCTGATTGGTTTCTTGAAGTTTCCCATCTTAAATCAAGATGTGGTAACACAAAGAGATGTCCTAAAGGATCACATGACTCTAGACATAATCTTTCTCCCCTCAGCTGTGGACAAGCATAGAATTCTGCTTGGTAATCAGGAAAAATCACTCCTACTAACACAGTTATATTACAAAACTGTTAGAAAAAAGCCATCAGAAACCTAAACAGCCAGGCAAGTCTGAGCTTTCAATTCAGTGGAATGTTGTACTTCTTGGCAGGAGTAACCCAATCTCTAGAACTAGTTTCTAGGCCAACAGGACGTAAGATAAGGGATAATAATCAGATATCTTCATAGTACTAGTGATGAGAATGAGCGTAAACATAACCCTTTTCACCTCTTAACTACTGGACTTGTGGATCCTGGCTATAGGAGATATCGTGCTATATATTGGACAATGGTTCAAAGCATACACCACCTTCTGGAAAACCCAGCCCCAGCCCTCCAGAATGCTGCCAAATAATTGGCAAAGTAACTGTGTTTTCAGAAAGCCATTCCATCTTTCCATCAGGACAGCTGCTTCAGAATGGTAGGGAGCGTGTTAAAGCCTGTGAATTCTTGATTCAGGGCACCGTGATGCCATTCTTTGCCTGTAAAGTGAGTTCTTAGGTCAGAAGTAATCTTGTTTTAAATAACATAACTATGGTTACGTTAGGTAAATTAGGTAAGTCTATGGATGATGGTTTTTGTAGAAGTAATGCATTCAGGAAAGGTAAATTCACAACCAGAGTAATTATCTACTCCAATAAGGAAAAGGCATTGTTCTTTTCACAGAGAAAGATACCCAATATATATACTCTGCCTCCAGATTGTTGTCTAGATGTCCAGGAGATGGTGTCCTACCTGGAGCTCAGTGCTGGTCTCTGCTGCTGCAGATCTGTTACTCAGCAGCAGACACTACAAGGTCAGTCTTGCAGGCCTTATTAGAAGTTAAACTTTATAGATTTGCTTAGGGATTTGAAGACTATTGGTCTGAGTATCCTAAACATCTAGCTATAGTAATAGTAGAGGTGATAGTGAGAGGATCATTGTGCTTGTGATTATTACTGGTGATAGAATATTGTTAGTTTTTGTGTGGGTTTGGTGAATAAATATTTTGGAATTATTGTTTGTAGGAAATTTGGTGAGGTTGATTAAATAATGTGAGTGTAGGAAAATAGGTTCATTAAGGCGGTGGCTGCTATTAATGTAGCTAGAATTACGTTGTTATTTTTAGGAGTTCTGTAATGATAGCTCATTTGGGTAAGAATCCTGTGAGTTGGGGTAGCCCTCCTGTTGATGGAAGGGTTAGTGAGCTTTTGGGGAATGCTATTGGTATTTTATTTTATATAGGTGATATAGAAGTGACTGATGTGAATAAGTGGAAGTGAAAGATTATAAATATAGGAATGGTTATCAGAATGTAAATTAGGATATTTAGGATTTTGAGGGATGGGTTGTAGGTAAGACAGAGATTATTCAACTTCTGTGAGCAAGGGGTGAGTAGGCTTTAATTTTTCGTGTTTGTGTTTGGTTTAGTCTGTTTCAGGCTCCAATAAAGACTGATATAGTGGCTGATAGGATCAAAATTTTAGGATCTATCAGTTCATGGACCTGAATAAGATTGATAGTGGGGCGATTTTTGTCATGTCAGTAGAATTAGGCCTGTGTGCAGTTTAATACCTTGTGTTACTTCTGGTAGTCACGAGTGGAAGGTGCTAGTCCTAGTTTAATTGCTAGTGAGATAAAGATTAGTGTGAGGATGGTTTTGTTAGTTTCAGGTCGGAATATCCATAGTCCTAGCTGTTTAAAATTTATAATGATAGAAAGTAGAAGAATTATCAAGGCAGTGCCTTGGAAGGAAATATTTTGTTGCTGTTTCTGTGGGTCATGGATTTGATTTGTTATCTATTAGTGGAATTATGGCTAGGAGGTTTATTTCTAGACCAACTCATATAATGAAGAGATTGGTGCTGAGAATAGTGACTATGGGTCCTGATATGATTGTGAAGTAAATGATGAGAAGTGTGATTGGATGAATTAGTACCGGAAGGGTTTA